GTCGTCTACCCGATTTTGCTCGAAGACGTCGTTCGATTGCACCGGTGCGGCGCGATCTTCCCCGGATTCTAGAAATTTCTCTCTCGCCCACTTCCGGTATGGAGTTCCCGGAGGGAGGACGCACGCGTCGCCCTCGCAGCTCAGCGCGAAATGGCGCACGTTCCGATGTTCCTCCAAGATCGAATTTCTGTCTCAAGGCCGACGTCGATCTTGGCCGAGTTCCCAGTCACGCTCGATTCAAAGTTGACCGGCGTCGAGATGGAGGTCCATGGGGAGGGTTGTCGCACGTCTTCGCACCCCGAGGCGAAGCTCGAGGACAGAATCTCACCTTTACTTTTCCCTCCCTTTCCTCCTACTCTCCTCATCATCCTCCTCTCTTTGGAAGCCGGGTGAACGACCGGCGAAAACGAAAGGGCGAAATCTTAACTACAAGAAAACTGTCGTTCTATATATATAAACTTACTATTTATCGATGATTCAAACCTTTTCTTTTCAAGTAATGACTCTACACTAAACTCTATTCATAATTCAACCATTCGTAACCTTTCTACTCCATCACGGAGACTCAACCCTCTTTCCCTCCCTCTCTCCCATCAACCCTGTCCTCCTAGATCCATACAAACGTACCACGCGAACGCCATTCGGATTATATATAAAATTCACAAACGCGGGATATATCGATTATTTAGTAAAACCTTCGGGTAGTGAGGAAGGCAGGTGTCTGATCGATAATACCGCTTATCTTGAAAGAACGGTAAAGTCATCGACAGGATCGCTACCCCCCGCTGGTACCCCAGTCGTCCATATAAAAAACACTGATATACAAAACGTTCACTAGATCGACACTGAACGTTGGTGAACGGCGCGACGAGAAGAAATTTCCAACGGATAAATTCATGCGTACGAGAAACGCACGAAATGCTGCAATCGTGTCGGTTCGTGTAAAGCGTGAATAAGCTTTGTACTGCCTTATCGTTAGCCTGAATATCTGCGAATTTTTTAGAGTAACAGCGAAATTCCCAACGTTCGAGAAGACGCTTGAATTATTGGCGGATTATCTTTCGATTGTTGCGCACATACATAGGTTTCCGGAAGGCTAAACATTCGGAATCACTGGTATGCTTATGTGAGGTTCAGACTTGCGATTGTCGACGTTATGGAAGATACCATAACGTATCCATTTGCTGAATATGACTAGCTTCCTGAGATACAGAATATTCGTAATTCGTGAAGTTAAACTCGCCTTTAAAAAAAAAAAACACTGAAAGAACGATTTTGCTAAAATATCTAAAAATTTAAATAAATACAGATTTGGAAACGATTTTGTTGGATTTTTAAAATAATTATGTAGAAAATTCAAATATGAGCAATGCTACAGAAAGATAGACATTCTCGCAACCAGTTTGAACGTTCTACACAATTATTTTATGATGATCCAAGAAAATTATTTTTAAATCTGTATCTATTAGAGCTAAGTTTTTAGATGTTTCAGCAAAACCGTCCTTTGCGTGAAGTAACACGGAATTTTAACGAAGTTAAATCTTCCTCTCTTTTCATTTATGTAACGTTCACATCGCTCTTTCGTTTTTGAACTGAATGTCACAAATACATCTCATTCTTTCACTGCATTTCGACATCAATTAACATAATAACCGGTCAGTCTGATCAAGAAGATATCACAGTGCTGTGCTCTGCGTGGAGCATGTCTCGTATAAGAAACCCCGCGTCAAACTTCCCGACAATCTTCTGCGTGTATCGTCTTTCAAAGATTGTCGTTTCTATCAAAAGATATGACATCGAGAATCACCGGGGGATATATTTACTTGAATATCAAACCTTTCGGAAATCCCGCGCTTCCACGATAATCCTTGGAAAACAGCGCTTCCCAGCTTGTATCTTTGTACAATATATTTTTTATATCGGATCTTTGTGAATCGGGCTAACGTTGGCGGTTTTACAGCGCAATAGCAGCGAGATCTCGCCGATAGTTTCTCGTCGCGCGGTTCCACCCACGTTGTTGGTGAAAATAGCAAAAGTACAAAATCGCTATAGTAATTATCCGAATAAAAAAGATTAGCCTAATGTAACATTAACCTTATCAACTACGGAGCTAAGTGCGCCGTCGTGCGTCGACGCACGATCGATGATAAAGACACTTGCTGTCCTCTTAGAAAAAAAAGCAGCAGCTTGCTACGGCACCGTCAGTAGCGAAAAAGGTATCCTTTTTCCCCTCCCCTCTCGCGACGATTCTTCTTGTCTGCCGTAAGTTCATCGCTTTTCTACGTTCCGAGGATCCTCCGATACCAGTTCGACTCGAAATTCGAATCCGACTGGGATGTTTGTCTCCACATAATCGCGCACGAAATTATGGTAAAAGAAAAAACTAAAGGTGCTCCCCAAATCGCAATATTCTCGGCTTCGCCCCTAATCTACGCCTGCTGCTGACACGTCAACATGATCAGCCATTGCCAAAAATTATCTAAATTCTGTTGTAGAAAGGCTCCTACGGTCACTACTGTTTTTCCTCATTTTTTCAATGAAATACTTTAATTGTACTTATTAATATTGATACTTTATATATATATATATTTATTGGTTCTAAATTATTAATAAACTTACATATATATATACAGAATTATTATTCTGTATAATTATATATTTTGATTATTCTTTTCATTAACAATATAACAAAATCAAGTACATTAAAGTAGAAAAATGTAAGGTACGTTTTATATCTAAAAGGACGTTTCGTACTTTAATGTTCTCAAAATTTTCAAATTCGAAGATTCTTATATTTTCTATCATCGATGCATTTAATAAATGCGAGTAAAACTGAAAAATAGCCGAGAAAGTGCGTTTAGGAAAATTTCGTAAACACGAGGAGCCTTTTGTGATTCTGTTTATTACGAATCCACGCATTGAAATAATTCTCGTGATCGCGTCAATCCGTGCAAAGCCACGATAAATAATAACCGCGTGAATAACTTTGAAACTATATTGATCCTCTCAGTTCCTTTCTCGTTTTTGTTTATGACAGGAACTCACAGGAGCTGGTAATAGCACACATCGCTGATTCTTATTAAAAATTGAAAGCAGTAGGGAGTACAGGCGACACATGCATCTATTATACACGCGTCATAAGTCATTAAGAAAAATTTCTCGTACACGCTTCCGATCGTACGAGGAACTTGAAACGGCTCGAAAACTGGCTGTCGCGTTAATTTTGAAGAGAATGTTCCACTTACCTTGAAAAATGTATATATAAATGTGGTTTCTTTTATAAAGGCCAATTTTGTGTCTCACGTCTCGACAAACTTCGCACCAAAAGGCAAAGGAAATGTTTAAAACAGCGGTACTTCCATTTTCTAGATCCAGATTTCATCTCATTTCGAAAAGCGATAATTGAGCCCATTTTCGATGCTTCCAACGTCGCTCGAAATTTTTATCGCACGTGCTGGCGATAAAAAAAATTCAAGTTCCTTTCACCATCGATCAAGCTAGCCGTACTTGCGCTTTTTAATCAGCATTGTCAAAGGTGGCGAATTCGATAAAGGTCAGACAAAGATACGAATTGGAAAACGAAACTTGGAAAAGAAGGAAGAAAGACAGAGGAAATACTAAAATGCTGCTTTTGCTTGGCAATTGCTCATTTGGCACTCTGAGAAAACGTACGATCGAGACGAAACAATCGGAGAAGGACTCAAACGCGATCGTCCTTACTTCCGGTACTAAACGCGCGAGAAATTATTAATTAATGCGGGAGTTTAATTCATCGCGCACAGGAAATCGGCGTCAGGTGTCTGATTCGCCAATGTTGGTTGTCCAAGGAAGATTTTCTCAAACTGATACATCCTCAAAGCGCTGCCGCGCGTTTTCCTGTGCATTATTTTTTAATTTTTTTAATTTTTTTTATTTCTCACCCCCCTATTTTCTTATCTCATTTTTCTTCGATTCTTCAATGAGTGAACGGAACTGCGTGACTACTTCAAAAATTAATGAATGAATATCGTTTTATTCCTTGTATTATTTATTTCTTACAACGTAAAAAAAAAAAGAAATTGCGCCTATTAATCATATAAACGCTATATCCTTTTTTATCCCTCTAATCATGATATCTTTTTTCGCAAAAAATCATACAAATAACTGAAAATATTATGTATAAAAAGAAAATTTAAGTTTTTGAAAAAAATATTTAACAGATTACAATTAATGTTATTTATATGCGTATTTATTTTCGTGCATTTCGAATTGATAAATATAACACTGTGCAGCAAAATAAAATTTAAACAATTTTTCACGTGGCATATATTGTTAAAAAAAATATGCATCGCTTGTATAAAAAAAATGCATACTGTTGTCAATGTTACATGGAAATAAAACGATACTTTTTGGTTTTAACAGATGTATGGCCGATGGAGACGAACGAAAATAAAGCCACTACGCAAAAGCGTGAAGTAGTCACGCAGCTTCGCGATCCTCATCGCGTTACGCATCACACACATTGGGGCATTATATTATCTCCTAAATATACCTCCCGACATACGGATTAAGTATACTTTTTTAAATCGAAGTAACGTAAAAAAGGTACACGATCGACTATACTACCTTGAGAACGGTGGGCGGTCTGTTTGTGGGACGGCCGCTATTGGTGGACAGCAACGACCAGCATCGCCAGAAAAAAAGGAGGTTCTCTTCCTCTCCAAACACACTTGTTTCTCTCCCACTTAATATATTATATACACTGGCTACTTCGGACGATCACGACTTTCCGCAAGAATCGTCCTATATACTCGAATGAGCGATGACGGGACGATCGGAGAAACGAGAGAGCCGTGCACTTTCGTCTAGACGAAAAAACCGTGTGTACATAGCACGAGCAGTAGTATCAAACAATTGGTTTCTTCTTTCAATGAGTTTACTTTTATCTTTATGACCGGCGCGAATTTCGTCCGTCCCTTAGCAACGCTCCTGTCCCGAATCGCGGAAAGTCGCGACGCGCGCCCGATCGAATCAACGTTGAAAACCCATCGAATGAGTCGTAGATCCTTAAACAAAATCAACATGGCCGCCATAAACGTATAAACTAATAAAATGTAAAAAAAACAACGTGTTCTCGATTATCTAAGTAACAAACGATAGTTATTTCTTCTTTCTTTCCCTCCCAATCTTTCCTAGAAAGTAGCCTTTTTCTTTTTTTCTTTTTTCTTTATACACGTTTACAATAAAGAGAATCGACTTTTCCGTGTTCTAATATCGAATTTCTCTCCGCCTAAATTTATTTCATGTATTTATTTTTCTTTAAAGTAATTTCAACTATATTATAAAACGGGAGACGGCGAAGCTGTCACACTTGTCGCCCGAAGTTTCCGAAAGAAACCGTCCAAGAGATGTGATTCAGCTCGTAGTCCAAAACTTTTGTGCATAAATGATGGAACACACAGATTTCACCAACAAAAAAATTTTTACTAGTTAAAACTCACCTATATCAGAGAACTACGTCTGTGTAATGACACAAGTGTCAAAACGTAGTGTATACTAATAAAAAAATTACTTGCCATTTATTACAGCAAAACGCACGATAAATGCCTTAAGAAACTTAAAGAGCAACGTTATAGGGAAAATAAAGCATACTAATTTTGCAAAGTCTCGCCTCGCGCATCGTCAAACGAAACGTCAATAATTCGACGTCTCCCGCTTAAGATCAATCTAGACAAACAATTCTACAATTGACATTAAAAAGAAACATCTTAAATTTTAGTACTATGGGAATGCGCCAAGGGGCTCGCGCGTACCGTCATCGCATAGAATAGATTGCTACAAAAGGAAAAAAAAAAAAAAATATTATAATGCCTAAGAAATTACGAAGAAACATCAGCTGTCGACCGAAATAAAAGCGTTTGGCGAGCTAATAGGAATTAATACATCGGTGGATCCGGCCGACAACACGCGCCAGGAAAGATCGCGGCCCCCGTGCGCGTTCGCCATCGTCAAGTCTCCTAGAAGGTCGCGAGGGGAGGATTCTAGAGCACGGTCGTCCGGAACAGGGAGATCGACTTGTAAAAGAGAGGATACAAGTCAGCCGCAGTCGTGCGCATACGGCGGCGGTTCGCTAAGTTCTCTAATGGTTACGGCCACTGGCTGTAGAGCTGAAACTGCTCGCGGGTGAAGCAGGCCGAGAGCGGTTTCACAAAGTGGGCGTCGACCGTCCTGCAGTGTGGGCAGCCAAAGACGCGGCTGTAGTCCGAGTAGAAGTTCAGTCGCTGATGAGGGTGGATCAGGGGTTTCTGGCAGCTGTTGCACTGGAACGAAAATCGAACGACGGTGCGCTCATTTCGTGAACGTTGTTCCCTTTGTTGCGGGCGGGCATGACGAATCGGTGTGATAGAAGCGTACAGCTTGATCGTCCAATTCGCCACGTATTGTAAGTTCGTATTATATTATATTACATCACAACATTCACAAACTACGAAATAGTCTATCTCGAAAATCATCAATTTGAAAAAAAATAATAATAAGAAAGTGGTACTGTCGTAATTCACATTGATATTAAATTGAGAGAAGTAAATAAGTGTAAAACAAGCGAGAGATAATTTAAAGAGTCTTCTATTCCGATAATTATGACTGTGTAGATATTATGGCGTCAAAATAACAAAATCTTTTTTATACAAATAGTAGCGAGAGCACACTACTCGCGATGCTGTATTAACGCTCACGTGTTTAAAGGGTCAAAGTTCGACTGGGTCGACTAGTCACGAATTTAAAGCTTACCTTGAGTCGCTCGCTGCAGCAGGGCATTGCAGCGAAGATATCGTAGCTATACATGGTTCCGAGAACCAAGCTCGAGCCATCCCACGGCTGGGTACAGAAACGACAGCGTACGGGCTGCCCGCCGCTGCCCTCCAAACAACTCATGCACACAGCTGACAAAAATTGTGTGCGACCTTCGACCTTCACCTGGAATAAAATATCACAAAACCGGACGTGCTATTGAAATCTTGCACACGGAAGGAACGATTTTGCTGAAGTATCTAAAAATTTCGCTCGATAGACAGATCTGAAAATAATTTTGTTGAACCATCAAATTAATTATGTAGGAATTTCAAACCTCCCGAAAAATGCTGCAAAAATTTTGATATTACAGCAACGTTCTACCTAATTACTTGGTTCACAACGAAATTATTTTCAAATCTCAATCTAGTTAAATTTTTAGATACTTCAGCAAAATCGTTCCATGCAGAACCATAAGAATATTGCAGTTAAATCAAAGGAACAAAAAATGCGATAAAACATAAATTGTCATTTTAGCGTTTCGCACAGCGTTTGCTTGTAAATTTGTAATTAAATTGTTAATCAGTGTGCAGAAATAATATTTATACATGTCAGACAGATACTGCGTATCTACTATGTTTTATTAAGACATTATTGAAATGTTCTCCGAACATTTGACGTAAAAACAAAGTGTACTAAATTATCTATCGATTGATTCTTCTTAATTAAATTACTTTGTTTGAGATAGCTTCATCTGTGAATAAAGTACTAAACTCATTAACATTTTTATGTTACTTAATTAAATACTTGTCTTATTTTTTCGATAAGAAAATCGATACTTGTAAAATTTTCATGGGAAACATACCTCAGCGCAAGCAGGCGAATGTTGTCTGGGTGACAAGAAGAATGTGCCGTCCACCAATGGATACCTGTCGAAAACCAGCATGGCAGCGCGACAAAGGACACATGTAACTCGAGACCATTGCAGAGCGGCCAATGTCGATAGAATGAAGCATCTGGTGTCGTCGTTGCCGTGGTTGCCCTCGTCTTCCATCTGAAAACAAAAACCGTTAATGAACACATCGTTACATTGTATGCGCAATCGTGTTGAATAAACATATAATATAATATATAAAAATAAGAGAGACTGTTCGTACCGGTAATAACTCGTCAATTTATTTTTCTCTTCACAATTTACGAGGAAAATAAAAGAAATATCAGAAAAGAATGAATTTTTCTTTCAAACTTATTACAAGTTTATATTCGAAGATCCGATGGGAAATATCCCTGGTAGGTATCGTATCACGTCGGGCAGAAAACTCAAAGTTACTTTGAGCGGAAACGTTAGTCGATAACGACATCTTATCCCTTCGTTCGATCTCGTTTCCCGTTTACTTGTGAGAATGATAATAATTTGAATGCAGAATTCCCTTCCGGTAACTCTTACGCGCGAAGTAATAATGTCGGCATCAACAAAGCTCATGCCCGCCCTGCTCGTTAAACCAGTTTCCGTTAGCCTTTGAAAGAAGAAAAGTACACGGACCTCCATACTAACCACCGTCGTAAAAAGACCGAAGGCGACGGCGAGGGTGGAAGATTCGAAGGATGCAACGTGGCGTGGGTCTTGATAATAATGGATAAACTAAGAAGGCGGTGACTGAGAAACGCCATAAAGATTTTCGAGACAAGAGCGAGAGGGGAATAGATAGAGCAGGATGGAAAAAGGATGCAATGGCGAAACGCACTTCTGGATCAGGGCACTAACGGATGAAGAAGCATGGAAGCCTGGAAACCCTGCGATGAAAGTTTTAGAAAAACGCGCCCTAGAGTTCTCATAACCGGCGAAGGGAAAAGGGCAACGAGATACGCAACGAGGTACTTTCAAAAAATCCGTCAGTGAATCTTAATAGTCTTGAAAAAAGTCTGTTGAAACAGACTCCTTCCGAGCTGGAGATGGAGAAAGAGCCGGTGAGACAGTTGTATAGTAGTAAAGGAAGGTTTTAATAACAAACTGAAGAAGAGGACAAAAATGGCAGTGAAAGAAGCACAAGCCAGAGTAACTGTAATAGAAAGGAAAATTGAAAGGTAGCCGCTTTCGAAAGGGCCAGCGAAACGGCGACGAAGGAAGCGGAAACGAGTAACTCTGCTGCCGAGGAAAAACGTCAGCAGACGGTTTATAACCATAGTAAATAACCAGTCTTTCTACTTTGTGATTACAAAGAAAAAAATAGAATAAAGCAACGAAAGAATGTTCGCAACGTTGATAAGTAGAGACAAGAATGTTATTATACTATTAGATAACTTTTACAATTAATAAAGACAACCATTTTAAAGCTGATTTTTCATTTTCTGGTTAATTTATGATTTAAGTTTAAATTGATCCCACTTAAACTGATAGTAATATAAAAATTGTGTTTTTTGTAGTTATTATAATATTTTTTTAATTATAAACATTAAAAAATGTCACTATTAAACCATCAGTTTAATAACGAATCATAGCTAAAAATATTTTTACGATATTATTAGGTCTAATTATAGAGACTTTAATTGTAGAAAGTAAAAAATTGGATTTAAATAAATAGTGATAGCGGCAACAAAATCATTTATCAATGTTATAATAAATAATTTCTTAATCATTTATCAATATATCTTATTTATTTTCTATCTAAATATAGAGTGAGTATATAAGTATATAAGTATATAAGATTGAGATAAATTTTTCTTATCTCCCTATTTATTTCAGAGGTTCAGGAACAGGCTTTGTTCTCGTCGATACGTGACGTTCTGTTCATCCTCAAGATTCTTCGAAGATGAAAGTATATTTCCAGACTACGCGGAGAAGGTTTTCGAGTACTTGGAGTGACCGCTCGAGGAGCATAAGTGAAGGGAGAAAGGAGAAAAAATATCGTGGCTCTTTCGACCAATATATTCGTGGATTTGAGTAAAGACAGAGAGAGAGAGAGAGAGAGAGAGAGAGAGAGAGAGAGAGAGAGAGAGAGAGAGAGAGAGAGAATGAGAGTCCTTGACGCATCCTCGGATACTCGAGAGACCCATACGAGCCACGTACATCCATTTATCCGTCCATCCATCTCGCCATGAAGACTCAACGCCAATGTCGAAGAAATAAATTGAATTGATATGTCGCGAGTGTACGAGTCGCTTGTATCGCATGACGTACGATCCGGGTCCATGATCGAAGAGAAATACTCGAAGTTTTTACAACTTCGATTAGAGGACCCAGGATTGCGCAACGCTGATATGACACAATAAACTTCCTGCAATTTTATTGCTACTTGTAAGCCTGTCGAGTGCTAGGAAAAGCACGAAATACTTTGTGCGAAACACTAGAAATGCCTCCAAATAATAATATGTTTGATGGAATATTTTGCTTATGGAAATTCGACTATATGTGCGAAGCATTTTATTAAATTATAATATAATCCATAATTATCACTGTTGACATAATCGCGCGTTGTATTTATATTTGTTCTCGTATTCTATACATTTTAGCTCTTTATTTAATAAAATTCATCAGCACATTTTGTCCGTAATCTATATGTTTCAAAACGTTTTCAGTCTTCATTCTAGAAAAATTCAATTCTAAAAATATTTAATTCTACAAGTCTAACAACAACGGCAAAAGGTGAGTGAACTCCGATAATTTCGACTAGCCTGCCTAAAAATCGAAGAGAGGAAAAGGTGCCGGGAATGGCGACAGGGATGGTAGATCGTAAATCGTGGTGTACTGTAAAAGGACTTACACCGGCGGCGTCGCGGATTATCGGAATTCAATAATGCGGGACGATACAAATAAATGGAAAAATCTACCTTAACGTCGCCGCACGCTCGACAGTGCAAAATAATAAAGAACTGATGTTTAGCAAGGCAGCGAAACCATATATTTCCCCTTATTACTTGGTCCAGCTTTCATCAATTGCGATATAATAAGATTCTTGAAGGAGGATTACTCGATGAAAGTAAACTGGGAAAAACATGAAATTTCAGCACTTTATATATAATTTTACATTTTGCAGTTCGTAAATTAAAATTTATCTTTTCCTCTAACTGATTAAAAATAAACGTGGAAATCAAGTAGCTACAGTGGAAGTTCATTAACTAGAATTTAAAAGTGTTTAAATAGAATTGCCAGAAGTTATATCGCTTAATGATGTAATCTGACGAAAGATATTTCATTCTTTTGACTTTGAAAATCAAATTAAAAGTCTTAAATAACTTCTGTCGATGTAGAAGATTGTGAATTCAATTTTATCTCTCTGGAGGTAAAAAAAGGGAAAGAAGGACATATTCGGTGCTAAAACCGCTTGACTTCATTTTATGTACATTGTGCCAAGGAGACGATTTTCTTTGAGGTAAAGGGAGTAAAACAGGGAAAAGGGGAGAAGGCATAGGGGATGCAGAAAAAAGGTACCGCTGGGGATTTTTTAGGGTTCCTAAGGATGCCCTTATTTAGAACCTTAGCATCAACGCGGACTTAGCCATAGGACGCAGAACGATAAAAAGCGGTATATAGGCGAACGTAAAATTCGTTACGATCGAACTTCCGCTACCATCCTAAAGAAGAAAGAGAAGTAATTACTTACAAAAGACGCGAAAAAAGATATGTGAGAGAAAAGATATTTGTGTGCAATTTTACAATTTCCATTTTATTTTATAGCATACTATAGGCTTATCCAATTCTAATGGAAAAAAAGCTCGTTCAAATTTTATACTATTTTCTAAAAAAAATTTGTTAAGTTGATGCTACACATACGAAAGATTTATACAAGAAAGAAAATGTTATATTAAAGTAATATATTTATAAAGTATTAAAATTTGCGATTACAAGTTTATTTTTATTTATTTTATATATTTATGCATTAATTACAAAATAAAATGAAAACAAAAAACGTTAAAAAATAATTTATATACAGGTCAAAATATATGGAGCCTCAAAAGATTCAATCTGATTACAACCGTTTGATAATTAACATCATTAAAATTGCTTTTTTATTAAGATATTTATTTTTTCAATAAAACTTTTCTCGCATTGATCGTTTATATATGTATATATGTATATATAACAGAGAGCCGCAAGTTCTTGCTGTCGAAGAAAACTTCATCCGACTACTAGTGCAGACAATTGACTCACGGAAGCATCGTAAATTCGTTGAAGAGTGGGTGCGCTCGTTGCATTCTCAGTTAACGCGAATACGAACCTGCGAGACGAGCCCTCTTACTTTCTTTAAAAGCATCGAGCAGAGTTCGAACAGTTAAACGGTCTACAAAACGTATTTACGAGTGGCGCGATAATGTATAATAGAAAGAAACAAGAAGGAGAAACGTTTCTATCTTTACATTTTCCAAACTCAACGAATCTTCTAATTCTTCATTAACTATATTTAGATAGTGTCAGCAGCATATTAGTATATTTTTAGGTAATAGTATTTTCCTCAAATGCTCAATATTTTTTATTCAGCGAGAACAATGTAAGCATTTTAGATTATAATTATAATTATAATTATAGTGATTAATAAGATAAAATTTATAATAAAAAAAAATAAAACAAAAAACAGAGTCTGAATATATTTTACAATCCAGATATTAATTTTGTTTTATTAAATGCTTACAAAGTCACAAATAATACAATATTGAAATTAATCCTGTCGTGCGAAATTAGTCGTAAGTTCCAGTTTCGAATGATAAAGGCCAATCCAAGGGCTCAGGAAAGTTAAATGGAAAATAGAAAGTCGGGGCTCAGGGACAAAGGGCTGGCTTACTTAGGACTGTCCATGTATTATAGCCGGCGGAACAAAGGATTCGCGAAGGATTTCCCCACGCATCCTCTTCAACGAGGAAGGGTGTGGCGGCCCAGAGCGATAACAACTTCTCGCTAAAAAGTTTCCCCGACGAGGGATATTCTCAGCTCCGTGTCGTTCTCCATGCAAGTGACCCACTGCCATTCCAGGAAAGATGTGCCAAACAAAGAGATTCTCGAGATCAGGGTGCTCCTTCTAGCGTAAAAATAATCAATGCCGTCTCCCAAGACTTCGTTTC